GTCCAGGAAAGGGCCCTTTCCCTAGGCATTGCCAGCAGCACACATTTAGCTCTGCACAGTGAGCACTGCTAATCAGAGCACTGCTTGCAGACTACCTGCTCCCATCTCTTCCCTGAAGGGAGGGGACACATGGGAGGTGGGGGGGGGGCATGCACTACATGACCCCCAGTTTTCTGCCAGGGCTTGCTTGCTTGCTTGCTTGCCTGCCAAGCTCGCTCCCTCCCTCCCCGGTTTGGGACCAGGACACAAGAGGTAAATAAACAGCACCTGCACCAATAAGCTTCACTGGCTTGCTCCCAAAGCCAGGCAGGTGGGTACAGATGGAGATAAATGAGTGTGGCTGAGATCAGCTGCCCTACGACTTGATTACCTGCATCCTGTTTCAAAGGCCTTTTAAGACTACAGAAAGAGAATCCTCTGAACTGTCATTCATGCTTAAATTTGACACTTTACATCTAAGTTTGAATAAAGACGCTAATTATCTTACCCATTACAAAGATAGCTTCCCCAATTATCACCTCTAATATCATTAACTCACAGACATTTACCCCCCTCCCCTCCCATCCCTGTTCTGTTCTGAAATTTGATTTGTCCTTTTCATATGTGTTCATTTTTTAAATTGTATCCTTTGGTATATATGGTTGTGAAAATTTTCTTCCACTATTTGATCTGAGGAAGTGGGTCTGGCCCACGAAAGCTCATCACCTAATAAACCATCTTGGTAGTCTTTAAAGTGCTACATAGTCCTGTTTTTTGCCTATGGCATCTGTCTGCCTTCTGGGACCTGCTTGAAACCCAACTACCTTTCATTCAGCCCGATTTCTGAGTCACCGCCTCAGGCTCTATATTTTTAACTGTTTCTGTTTCCACTACAAGTTGTACTGAAATTCCTTGGGGCAAAGGGTCTCCCACAGAAGCAGCAAAGTGGGCGGGGGAGGGAAAGCTGCCATGGAGCTGTATCAGAGGCAGCAGCACGGGGCGGCAGGCAGCCAGTCTGAGTCGGGAGGTGGTTTTTAAACCAACTTCCCTCATAGACCAGCTCCCCACCTGCCACAGGGCTCTGCTGCCTCTGATAAAGAGGCAACAGTGTGGGATAGCAGGGGGCTCCCTGAGCATGGGGCCAGGAGCACACTGGCTGCTGGCCCCGCCCCCGGGGACTATCAAATAGTCATGTAACCACTAAAATTTCATGCGGTTACATGACTACTCAATTACACAATCTCTAACATCCCTAGTGCAGTGTTTCCCAATTTTTTTTGACCATGGAACCCTTACATTTTGGAGTGACTTATGTCAAAGTCAAGAATATTCATCTTTATCAAGACATGCAATTCGTCAGCTGTTACCCTTTGCCAGTACATACTTGTGCGAAACTGGGTTCTCGAACTATGCAGCAATGAAAACGAAATACAGAAATCGACTGAATGCTGCGCCAGATATGCGAATCCAACTTTCTAGTATTAAATCAAATATAAAAAGAATTTGCCAAGAAAAGAAGAAAAACCACTCTTCGCATTGAAAACTATGAATATAATTAATATTATTTGATAGTTTTATTTTTTGTACATATTTAATATGATTTTTGTTGAATATAAATGAATGGTGTTATATTCAATATGTTGAATTTAAATGAATGGTGATCTCATGACCGTATTTATTACTACCAATTGTGGTGTACTGGCAGTCTGTGTGTGTTTGGGTGTGGTTTTTGGGGGGTTTTTTTGCTCGACAAACTTAATCCCTGGCTAGGGAGTTCCTTGAAATTTTTCTGAGTTTGAAAGGGTTCCATGGTCAAAAAAAATTGGGAAACACTGCTCTATCTGATAGAAGCAGCCGGGGGGAGGGGTGGAATCAACTAGTCAACTAACCATCCGATAAGCATTTGCTTATCGGATAGTCAACTAGTCCTTAACATCCTTAGCGTATAAAAATTTTTAGATCTGTGGTAATTTTTTTAAAAAAATTAAATGACTAAATGTCATAGCCCCCAATGTTTATCACTAAGGACGGTAATTTTGTCAAGTGTCTGTTGTGCAACAGGATGTTGCCAACCCCTGAAATTAGCTGCCTTTCATTTTCATTGACTGTGCCCTTGTTCTGATGTTGTGGGAAAGTCTAAGAAAGCTAGAGAGAGGAGTCAAGGCAACCAGTTTTAAGTCTTGGAAAGCTAGAAAATAGTGGAAGGTTTATTTCTGAAATCAATAGGCTCTGTTTCATGGCTATCAATGAATAGCCATAAGACAAAAGCTGAAATTGTGTCATGCATGAAATATCAGCCCGCGGTCAATGTGGATATTAGAGGGGTTATTCCAGTCCTAAAAATAAATAGAATGCTTTGAATTCCTACGGCAGGAAGGTGCAAACTATTAAAAATATGACAAAATAGCCCTCAGTTGTAGTCAGTGCTACATGACGAGAGCTGTGGCCTGAAGAAAAGGTACTGACTGCAGGAACGGGTACTGTTGGCTGTGACGTTTACTTGCATTGGATTTGCATTGTTTCAGGCTTCCTTCCTCACATTGCCAACCACACTAGGAAGAAGGGATGGCTGATCTCATAGTGACAATGAACAGCACTGGAGAATCCTTCGGGAGCCCTGAATCCTGGAATCCAGAACACACAGAGAATGCCTCCTTGCCCAACTTTACACTGCCTTTCTCTTTTGGCCAACGGGTGGCTGACCGAGTGCTGAATGGAATCCTCATTGCTGTCCTCTGTATTGTCATGGTGTCACTGGGATGCACCATGCAGATCTCTAAGATCAAGACTCACTTCTGGAACCCTAAAGGGGTGGCCATTGCTGTGGCGGCCCAATATGGCATAATGCCTCTGACAGCCTTTGCCCTGGGCAAACTCTTCCAATTGGGCCCTATTGAGTGTCTGGTCGTGCTCATCTGTGGCTGCTGTCCAGGTGGAAACCTGTCAAACATTTACAGTCTGGCATCAAAAGGAGATATGAACCTCAGGTAAGGAGAGCTAAGTACAACCTCATCATTGTCACTGGCCAGGCCATTTCAGTTGGGAGAATGGTCTAACTTATCAGTTCGCTCTACCCTAATGCTTCAGGCAGGAAGGTAATTGGTATCATACTCAAAGTAGTTTTAGAGTACTCCTCAGCATGTTGCTAAATGCTGCTTAGTCACTATTGCTCCAGAGTGGCACCTGAAATCCAAATATAAAAAGAATTTGCCAAGAAAAGAAGAAAAACCACTCTTCGCATTGAAAACTATGAATATAATTAATATTATTTGATAGTTTTATTTTTTGTACATATTTAATATGATTTTTGTTGAATATAAATGAATGGTGTTATATTCAATATGTTGAATTTAAATGAATGGTGATCTCATGACCGTATTTATTACTACCAATTGTGGTGTACTGGCAGTCTGTGTGTGTTTGGGTGTGGTTTTTGGGGGGTTTTTTTGCTCGACAAACTTAATCCCTGGCTAGGGAGTTCCTTGAAATTTTTCTGAGTTTGAAAGGGTTCCATGGTCAAAAAAAATTGGGAAACACTGCTCTATCTGATAGAAGCAGCCGGGGGGAGGGGTGGAATCAACTAGTCAACTAACCATCCGATAAGCATTTGCTTATCGGATAGTCAACTAGTCCTTAACATCCTTAGCGTATAAAAATTTTTAGATCTGTGGTAATTTTTTTAAAAAAATTAAATGACTAAATGTCATAGCCCCCAATGTTTATCACTAAGGACGGTAATTTTGTCAAGTGTCTGTTGTGCAACAGGATGTTGCCAACCCCTGAAATTAGCTGCCTTTCATTTTCATTGACTGTGCCCTTGTTCTGATGTTGTGGGAAAGTCTAAGAAAGCTAGAGAGAGGAGTCAAGGCAACCAGTTTTAAGTCTTGGAAAGCTAGAAAATAGTGGAAGGTTTATTTCTGAAATCAATAGGCTCTGTTTCATGGCTATCAATGAATAGCCATAAGACAAAAGCTGAAATTGTGTCATGCATGAAATATCAGCCCGCGGTCAATGTGGATATTAGAGGGGTTATTCCAGTCCTAAAAATAAATAGAATGCTTTGAATTCCTACGGCAGGAAGGTGCAAACTATTAAAAATATGACAAAATAGCCCTCAGTTGTAGTCAGTGCTACATGACGAGAGCTGTGGCCTGAAGAAAAGGTACTGACTGCAGGAACAGGTACTGTTGGCTGTGACGTTTACTTGCATTGGATTTGCATTGTTTCAGGCTTCCTTCCTCACATTGCCAACCACACTAGGAAGAAGGGATGGCTGATCTCATAGTGACAATGAACAGCACTGGAGAATCCTTCGGGAGCCCTGAATCCTGGAATCCAGAACACACAGAGAATGCCTCCTTGCCCAACTTTACACTGCCTTTCTCTTTTGGCCAACGGGTGGCTGACCGAGTGCTGAATGGAATCCTCATTGCTGTCCTCTGTATTGTCATGGTGTCACTGGGATGCACCATGCAGATCTCTAAGATCAAGACTCACTTCTGGAACCCTAAAGGGGTGGCCATTGCTGTGGCGGCCCAATATGGCATAATGCCTCTGACAGCCTTTGCCCTGGGCAAACTCTTCCAATTGGGCCCTATTGAGTGTCTGGTCGTGCTCATCTGTGGCTGCTGTCCAGGTGGAAACCTGTCAAACATTTACAGTCTGGCATCAAAAGGAGATATGAACCTCAGGTAAGGAGAGCTAAGTACAACCTCATCATTGTCACTGGCCAGGCCATTTCAGTTGGGAGAATGGTCTAACTTATCAGTTCGCTCTACCCTAATGCTTCAGGCAGGAAGGTAGTTGGTATCATACTCAAAGTAGTTTTAGAGTACTCCTCAGCATGTTGCTAAATGCTGCTTAGTCACTATTGCTCCAGAGTGGCACCTGAAATCTAGGATGGAGCTACACTATAGCACTTGGAGTCACATCACCACTAAATTTTGACGTGGCTACCCCCTCCATAATGCTGGCCAGAGCAGTGGATAAGCCAGATTTCACTGGTGGTGTGTCCTAGAGTGCCAGGTTGCCACACCACTCAAATTTAGCCCAGCCATCAATGTTTCCTCGTTCTCACACATGCACTCATGAACACTCCCCACCATGTGAGGTAGTAACTAACACCAGGGTTGGACTCGCCTGCCAGAATCCATGTAGCAACTCCTCTCAGCATTGGAGAAGCATCAAACCAGTAGGAAGAAGAGATGGTAAGGAGCCAGGTGAAGTGGAAAGAAGGCCAGCCAACAGCTAGATCCCATTCTGCCTGCTGAGACCTGCCAGAACCCACAGCAGCTCCTCTCGGTGCTGCTACTCTGAGGACTTATAGGAAGCTCTGAGCCAGCCACCAGGGAGAAAAGTGGGGAGAGGATGTTATACCTTCCTAGGGACCCAGGTACAAGCTGAAGCAAGTAGGGAAGACAAAGTAAGGAGCACTGTGGGGTGGGCAGAAAACTAGCAGAGTTCCACCAGTCTTGCAGCAGAACCCACAGCAGCTCCTCTCGGTGCTGCTACTCTGAGGACTTATAGGAAGCTCTGAGCCAGCCACCAGGGAGAAAAGTGGGGAGAGGATGTTATACCTTCCTAGGGACCCAGGTACAAGCTGAAGCAAGTAGGGAAGACAAAGTAAGGAGCACTGTGGGGTGGGCAGAAAACTAGCAGAGTTCCACCAGTCTTGCAGTTAGGACCCAGGAATTAGAATCCGGCACAGATTATAGCTATAGGGAAAG